GACCACATAATGTAATGTTTCTAGGAAAAACCCTTAAACTGGCAAGAAGCTGTTTTGTTATGTGAAGTTTCTTTATACCTTCGAAAGGTTCTTTACACTCTCTTTAGGGCACTAAATGGTTCTTCTGTGTTATGGCTGTGGCACCTAAGCCTTCAGTTAATCTCGTAACACAGTTATTGGGAAACAATGTTTTATTCAAGGAAAAGAAACAAAAATATTCAACTCCATTCCCATTCCGCCAGTGGAATGGCCATTAGGGAGCCTGCAGAATGAGGTTATAGGACAATTTGGGTCAATTTGTATATGAGGACATATGAAATTTAGTAAATTCTTAGCTAATTTGGCTCTGTGTGGGAGCAAAATCCCTGTGTTGACAAAAAGAGGAAAAAAACTTTCAGTGAAGTGTTCCTGAGAGCTGCAATTCATACAATAACTTTGTGGCGAGAATTTGCCTGAACAGTTAAAGTGTAATTTAGAGAGCTGTGGAGACCTGTGTGAAAAATAACACATGGCTTGCTTGGCCACTAACAGTCTATGGAGGTGTGTGGACATTCCTTCTTGGGTTTCTGTGACCATGGAGTGGCCACAGTGGTCTGCATGCAAACACAAGCACACACACATATACACACAGGCCCACACAAACACATAGAGTCCATTCCTGGCTGGTTTGTGTGAGTAGATATCGTCTGCAATGTTTTTCCCTTTATTACACGCATACACTTTCCATGTGCATCATATCCAAAGTGGTCTGCATGCGTGGGCTTTCTGGCTGCATCCTATCCTCAGGAATTTATAGAAATGGCTGGAGAGCCCAAAGAAAAGGTTGTTATTGCACGACCGTGCCTTAGTTACGATAGTTGCTCACACAAAAAAGACATTCATCCCTGAAAGTAAAAAGAATTTAATTTGCAGGAAAACATTCACTTAAATTCACTGCAACGAGGTGGTATGGCAAAAATATAACATCGTAATGCTTTGAGATATTTCCACGATACACATTGCCCAGCAATATTACGTTTTTCTGAAATTTGATAAGTTGGATCAGACAAAAAGAACCAGTAGAGTAGGTCTAATTATACTCTCTAAATGGTCAGTGTCCTTTAAGTACTGAGGATATGCTCAGAAAAGCGCACTGTGACATTGTAACATTTGGTGTCATTATTTATCACGATATGATAAACACTGTCATATTGCCCACCCCTAGCAGCAACTGCAGTGTACATGATAAATCTCTTTAACCACTGCACTGTTACCTTCCCTCCATCTTCTTAAAGGCTGTTCCTATCCAAAATAACAGGCACGCATATCAATGCCATTCCTTGCAGGATCCCTTGTCCATTTCACAACATTTTGGCAGCTATCTCCCTGCTGAGAAAGTGAATGAGGAGAAAGCAAACCAGCTCTGCATGATCTGACTCTCTTTTCCAGACAGAACTTTGTAGACAGTCTCCAGCACACAATGCAGAATCAGCAGTATATCTGTGGCACCTCCTAGCAATAATGCCTAAGGCATACAGTATATGCATGCATGCACGTATACATTGATATTAGTTTCTCTTGATCCCTCCTCACAGTTAGGAAAATAATTTATGGTTCTGCCGGATTTTAAGTCAGAGTCTAGAACCAAATGAGTGATAAATTGATTCAACTGCAGGCTTAATACTCACATATTAGTCATAATAATCTAGTAGCCATGACAAATTATTCAGTAGCTCCTATGAGGCTCATATGTTATATGTAAGTTATGAGAGTAAAAGTTAAGGTCCAAACATCTGAACTTTGGATGGTCCATATCATGATAAAACATTTGATGCAGAATGTAAACACTATTAAAATTTCAAAATGTACTGTTTACTCAGCAGTTCATACATGGAAACTAAGCCACAAAAATAGCCTTTCTGATACCATGAAAACCAACACATATTTCCACCTATTCAGCAGAGCTGAAACACTTTTAAGGGGTTAAACTTTAATGGGGTTAAAGGAAACTAAATCAAGTGTGTTAAATACTAGCTTTTGAGAAGATGATCCACTTTTCATTTGGCATGGTTGCTTGTAAGATTCTGAGAAAAGAGTGAATTTAATTGTAGTTCAATTTTGTCATTAAGATGTAATTAGACCTCATTGAGTGAGCAAGTGAGTGAGTGACTGGGTGGGAGAGTGACCCAACCAATGAGGACATGTATTAGGAATAAAATTCATAGCCTAGTAAATCCAAACACATCAAGAAAAAAATCCCATCACATTTGAGTACTGTCACAGCAGGGCCTCCAGAATTCATTAAATTGAGACTGACAAGCACAATCACCAACATTTGAACTTTAGTTCGTATTTCTGTGCTAAATTTGCCTTGGCCCCAGCTTTTATGAACTGGCTGAGTGCTTCCATCCAAGCCTGAAAACGAATTGGAAGAGACTCCATGTGAAAAGCGCCATTATTGCCTGTGTAAATTGTGCGGCCTGTTGCGGCCTGACCTTCGGGGGTAAATCCTCTTTCAAACTGTGTAACGATATCTGACAAAAAGCAAAAGGCTTTCATGCTGCTTCAGATGGGTGTGCGTTAGTGTGTGCGTGCATGCCTAGGTTAAAGGAGGAATGTTATGAAACCAAATACATCAGCAGAGATACCTCTTATATGAGGTACAGTATATACGTTTGCTTAGACTCAAATTATTCTTCCTGGGGCCCACTGTAACGTTGTTCCAGTGAGAATCTACCGCTTGTTACCTTGGTTGCTGCACCCTAGGTCATATAGGGTTGGTCAGAAGATGGAATGTGGGCAAGTGCTTTCTCCAAACATGCACCCAACAATGTGACAAGGTCCTCACCTTCTGGAAGGCCAAAGATTCGCTTGCACACCTGACTTCTACATATGTTTTCTAAGTGAATTACGACGTGCCATGGACAGGCAGCCTTGTCATGACAAGATACCCTTGTCATGGCCATACTCAGCATGAAAGATGCCTGCTCAAATTCAATCAGCCTTATGCCACTGAATAGGCGTTAGCCATAATGATCCTGGCTACTCTGTCACATGCTAGTTTAATAAATTACCAAGAGAACTGCGCTAACCACCTCTACTTCGACCTTTTATGTTCATTAAAACGTCTTCACACCGTAATATGACCTGCTCGGTGGGAATCGTTTGCATTATTGAGAGTTTGGATGGGGTTAGCAGGTTTAGCATGGTGGGGGGAAGATGGCAGGCAGCTAGCTGCTGTGTGAGCCGTGCTGGGGGGGCTCAGTAGGCTCGGATTCATACACACCACGACTGATTTGTCACGCCAACAGGCATGCTTGTGAGCCTTTTAGCTTTTAGAGAACATTAGGACATCTGATAAAGCTCGCCAAATCTCTTAAAGCAGCTGCCTCTCAGTGCCTGAGTCAGTTACAATAAGCATGTTTTGGTGGATGATTGCATTGGCTGCCATTTAGATCTTGAAACCCTTTAAAAATAAACTTTATATTTTTTTAAATCATCTTTCAACACTGAATCTAAAAAAACATGAAAAGAAAGTGTTACCTCATCTCAGGAGTTGTACCTCATTTTTTAGGGTTCTTTGATGACTGAAACATGGCTGAAAGTAAGAGCGTTGAGATTTTTAGCAATTAGCAAATACAAAATGGTTTACTAGCATGAGGACATTAAGGACATTCTACTGGTGTATTTTCTACACTGAATGATTTACTTTCAGCTCTCCTCTGCCAATATAACAGTGTCAATGAAAATAATGAAAAAAAGGGTGAGATTACTTACTTTTCTTCTTACCAGCATCTTCAGGAAATCTGGACAGCGCAACTTCCTGATGAACATGAAACTTGTGGGATGTCTCAAATGTTTCACTGGGGTGAATTTGTTCAGGTAACAGGGTTGAGTGAATGCTGTGCAACACAACTAAACTAAAATTTATCATCCATCACAGATGACTTATGAAAAAAGATGTTTAAAGCATGAGATATTAAATGGCATCTTGCATTTCAGCATTTTTGTATTTTAATGATATTTCATGTTGTTTTATGTCCTGAATGCTGTAGATAACTTTTATTAATGTCTTAAGTTATTTATCTTAAACGTGCATATAAGTTATTGTTATTATTGTTATTATTTACCTGCATTTAAAATGTATTTCACCCTTACTTTTCATACATATTTGTAAATGTAATATCAGCGGGACACAGACAGCGCCTCAACTGCGGAGTCACTGTGATACTTTTTATTGTTTTCTTACAGACTAATGAAATAACAACATGCGATTGTGCCTATTTTTGGATGCACCACTTTCAATGACAACGTAATCTTTTTTTTTCATTTTGAAAAGTCGTTGCAATTTGGTGTACGTCATTTGTTTTTGTGGTATGATTTCATATGAAACGTTCACAGACATGGTTAATGCAGGCTGTATGTTTCAGCATGAATGGCTTTTCAATAACAAAAAAAAAAAGATCTAATCTGTGGAGATCTAATCTGTGGAGATCTAATCTGTGGAGAAAGTTCCCAGAGCAGAAACGGTTAATGTTCTAGATGTAAGCCGTTGGCCTTCCAGCTATGCACTACTGGACTATGACATTATTTTGAGGACAATTGGTTAAGTGGAGTTAACTGTTGCCTTTTTCTCCCTGAGGTAGCTTCTCTTTTGATCCTGCCCTGCCTGGCGCCTTCCGAAACGCAACTCGTCTGGCTTATTAAATGCCAAGAGAGAGAGAGAGAGAGAGAGAGAGAGAGAGAGAGAGAAAGAGAGAGAGAGAGAGAGAGAGAGAGAGAGAGATGCCTGTTGCTTCTTAGATGAAGCTTTTGTAACCTTAAATGCCCATGACAGGAGGATTTAAATTGCGGAAATGTAGTGTGAACTACAGCCCTATCAAATCGGTTCCTTTCTTCATAAAAGTCCTTTTCGGTGAATCAACCGCGAAGACTTTCTGGACAAACACAAGGGCTGTTTTATTTCCCGGCTCAACGTGTAGCTTTAACCAAATATACTAGGATTTTCATCCTCTTTTTCTCTCTCTTACTGCAATAAGACATTTCATTTCTCTTTTTTTTCCCCACGTTTTTACCTTTTTCCTTTTCACACGCTCCAGAGCGATGAACCTTAGCTCGGCTACGTGTGACGATACAGGTTAGAAGTTTCACCAAAAGACTAAAGTTAATTCCTTTGTGTGGTTTTCAATGACTATACAGCAGTGGGATATGGACACTTCTAAAGCTTCCCCACTGTTTAATTGGGCTAAAATTGGCCTGCCTGCGCTCCAAAGAAGAGTCCGGAGCCCCGAGGCCGTCCATACATCAACCTCAGCGAGACGCCTGCCATTAACAACGGCTCGCTTTTTCCTCAGCGTCCTCTTCGCTGCCTTTTCGCGGGGGAGGGGATCCGGACCAATAGGAACGAAGCTCGCGGGGCGGGACGTTGTCGAGCGGACGCGCTGATTGGGCGGCGCGGGCCGAGAGGCGGGGCTTGCGCTTGTTTATATGCGACGCTGTTCGGCGAGAGCAGCTAACGGTCTGTCAAAATAAGAAAGTGAAGTTTGAAGAAAAGAGGGAGGAGGAGAGCAGGAGGAGGATTTAGAGGAGGAGACGGGAGAGCTACACCTGAGGTAGCCTACATGCTGAAACCTCACGGTCCCAGGCCCATAGGAGCCCGAAGATGATGAACTCTCCCGAGGGAGCAGCACCGGTGGCTTTCGAAACCGCGGCGGCTCACGGCAAACCGGAGCAGGAGGAGAGCGAGGAGAGCAAGCCCAAAGAGGTGGCGGTTGGCTCGGAGGCTAAAAGCAAGGCGAGTCGCCACCCGTTCAGCGTCGAGTCGCTCATCTCCAAGAAGACACCCAGCAGCAGCCCGGCGCCGGCGCAGCCAGGACCCTTAACCCAGCCCAACGCGGGCCAGTACCCTCACAGGACTTACTTCACAGGTCAGAAGAGCAAAGTTTCGCTCGCTTTCCCCACCGTGTCGGACTGCCTGAACAATGACGAGAGCGAGGACTCGAGTGACAAGGAGCAGAGCACTTGGCTGAAGAGCCCAGCCTTCAACTCCCCACCGAGTAAGACAGCTTAAAACGTCCCTTTTAAGTTGGCAGATTTAGGGCTGCGTTAGTGGTGTGTCGAAATAGCGCTGCTGTTGCTTATTAACGTTAAAAATGATGCGGTTACGTAATATTTACGTGTGTGAAACGTCCAGAAATGAATCATGATTTCAGTTTAGTTGTACGGTGTTAAAATAATAAAGATATTCCAAGTCCGAATTGCTTAATCACACTAAGATTAACAGTGGTCTAGTTGTATGGCACAATATAAGCACAGAATAAGTTACTCTCTTTAAAAACTTCGGTCTTTACTAACGGGAATGGTTCTTTATGGAACAATAAATTATATATAGAACCATTTACATGCTTAATTGGTTCTTTGCATGCTGAAATGGTTCTTCAGACTGATGGAGCCCTTTTGAAAATGGTTCTATATGGCACCAAAATGGGTTCTGCTATTGTTAGGATGCCAAGCTTGTAACAGTATAACCCTTTTTGGTGCTGTATAGAACCATATTCAAAAAGTTTCTATCTGGAACCATATGCAACACATTCTCCATCAATCTGAAGAACTATTTCACCATGTTAGGAACCATTTAATCAGGCAAATGGTTCTTTGAGTGTTCATGGTTCTAAGTAGAAGCATTGTCTTCAGTAAAGAACCCTTAAAAAACCTTCTTTTGTAACAGTGTAGAGATTAGTAGACAAAATGAAACCATTAAAATATGCTAGCCTGTCCCACTAGAAAAACAGCAGACCACTACAAATAAGCTGTAGTGATGTGAGACAGTCTGTACTGGGATCCTACTGAAAATAAACACAACAAGAGTAACAATAACAACGCACACACTGTAAAAAAGGGTCCTCACTTTACCCACAAAATAACAATAATAATACTTCATGTGGTGTCAAGGAATTGAACAAGTTTTACTCACCTTTAATAATTACTTTGATTGAAACAGTAGTTCATAAAAGGTATTTTTAGTTGAGTAAAACTAGTTAATTTAGTTGTTACCACAAAGTATTTTTAGGTTGAACTAATGAACCATTTTTACATCATATAATAAATAATAATAACATTTTCCCCATCATATTAATATTTGCACCATCACTATTACCTAAGATTCATTTAAGTACTGGCTGTTTAAAAATCACAGTAATCACCACATTATTACAGAGCAATTTGTGTAGGTGTTTAATTTAACACCTACAGTGATCAGTTTATCACCTACTATGTTGAATTAACACCTGCAGTGTTGAACTCTTCCACATGTTGAACTATGTGCAAATGAACTTGTATGAGTGTTTAGCATTGTATGTATTAATTCAGCACTCTAGGTTAGTTAGGTTAGTGTTAAATTCAGAACAACAGATATTAACCTGTTAAACTCTCAAACTCTGGGCCCACAGTCCAGTTCCTCGCCTTCATGACTACGTATTATTAACTAGTACAACTAAATAACTTACATATTTCACTATAAATATAAAACTAAATAACTAAACGAACATAATAGTTTTCTGGCAGTTTATTGTCCAAATGGACTGAAATTTAAACATTTCAGATATGGACTTATTTGACAGTGTTCCTAATTTAACATGGCAGGTGTTGATTCAGCAGCACTGTTGGATTTATGGAACACAGGAGATTCACCCACTCATGTTAAAATGTTAATAATTTATTTGGTCCATACATTCTCTGCTTTTTTAAAACTAATCAAACCATATGACTAAAAAGTGAGTTATCTCGATTTATCATATAAAATCCAGTCTTTCAGTCACGATGGAACCCTTTTCTTTTAAACAAAACAGTAGAGAACAGTGTGAAAATGACAAAAAATTAAAATAATTGGGCTGTTAGACGCTCATAAGCAAAATGTCAGCACTTTAGTTTTGTGGCCTTTTCCCTGGTCATACTGAATGTACATGTCAGATGCGGATGGACCTAACGACATAAACACATTTTCGCTGTACATATATATATATATATATCGAAAATGTGTTTATGTCGTTAAATATATATATATATATATAAAATGTTAGTTCTAGGTGTTAGTTCAACGCAGCAGATGTTGGGGTCTCTCCTGACACATCTGCCCTCCGTCAGCCTTCTTTGCTTCTAAATAATTGACCCCCCTCCTCCCTGTCATCTCTCCTTTCTCCAGGACACCCGAGTCCCACGCCGTGTCACCTGCGCAAGCACAAGAGCAACCGGAAGCCGCGCACGCCCTTCACCACGGCGCAGCTGCTCTCGCTCGAGCGCAAGTTCCGCCAGAAGCAGTACCTGTCCATCGCGGAGCGCGCGGAGTTCTCCAACGCGCTCAACCTCACCGAGACGCAGGTGAAGATCTGGTTCCAGAACCGGCGCGCCAAGGCCAAGCGGCTGCACGAGGCCGAGCTGGAGAAGCTGAAGTTGGCCGCCAAGCCCGTGCTCCCGGCGCTCGCGCTGCCCTTCGCTTTCGGAGCGCACGCGGCGGCGTCGTCCATGTACGGGACCCCGGGGCCTGGGCCGCGAGCCGCTGTAGCCGTGCCGGGCCTCTTCAGCTCACCGTACGGAATGTATTATTTGTCTTAACTGTCTGAGGACTTAAGCCTCGCGCAAGACACGGACAAAATCATATTGCTACATATCGCGATACGCACTGCAGTCTGCAGAAACGCGTTGCCGTGGTCAGAGATCAGCCTGCCTTATTGACAGCCCTGATCACGGTCAGCTATAGGGCTGCGCGGCGTGGACAGACTATATTATCATGTACTGGCATTACAATGTGCCTTGAAATATAAACAATAACACATTGGTGAACCCTGGATGGGACTTTGGCGCATTATTAGAAGCCTCTGGTCACGTTCGCCTTAACGTGCGCGTGCTTACGTTGCAATAACCCTGGGACAAGACAGTGAACACTTACAGTACCTCTGACTGAAGCCACGTGCACATCACTTCAGTTGTTGCTGGGTTTGTAGAGATCTGACTCTTTATAAGCCACGTTCTCCTCTGAGATTCACCAGTTTATCCATTACTGCAATTATTGTAGCCTTACACAGCAAGACCCCCACACTGGGCAAAAGGGCTCGTCAGTTTAAGTGACATTTAACTCAGATAAATACTTTGAATGAAGCAGTGCAAAGCTTCAGGTTAGCAACACATCAATTAAAACCTCATAAACACTTCCACTTTCTCACCATGCAGTGCTCAGTCACCATCTACAGTGCTGACTCCTACAGTTCAGCCCACCTGAGCACTGCACAGTTAGATTTGTGGGATTTTGCTGTGTAAATATATAAGAATGTCGCACAAGTAGAGGAGTGAATGCAGGCTTCTGTAGTCGTGTGTGTCTGTGTCTATGTGTTCATGTGTTTATGTGTGCGTGTGATGGATGTGTTCATGCTCTGGTGGAGCTGCTGGAGCTGGATTAATTCAAGAATTTTGGGATGTATAAAAACTCTGGGGTTGTCCGTCATGGAGTACTTACTGGCCTTCTCTTAAAAAGTGCCTTGAGAGACCAAATATTTATTAGTCAATAAAGATTATTCTTTTTAACATTTAACACGCCTTTATCTTCTTCACTGGGCCACCATGATTCACTCAGAGGTGGGTGATGACTGAAGTCCTTTTACTCACTTTTACGTATTTAAGTAAAAATGTTTGAGTATTTTCAAATCACTTTTACTTAAATATATTTGTAAGATGAGGAGTTTTTATGTTTTCAATTTGGTGCTTTGGTTGTAAATGTATTTTTTTGAGGGAGGGGTTTAATTTAATTCTGTTTATTTTAAACCAAAAGGATTAAAATAGTAGCTCCTAACAAACTTCAGGTCCTGTTCTGATGCTGGATGCACTAAGAAGTTCCTCTGCAGTTCTAGAAGTTGCTCAGTACTTTATATAATTAAACCTTATATAATTTTGGACCTCATATTTACTCCTAATTTTTTTTCTAATAGGTACGTTTACTTATATTTCTTCATTATTTCATTTAAGTAAGACTCGTTTTAAAACCTCATCTTTGATAGTGGTTCTAGACTGTTCTAAACTACCACCTCTGCTTACAGATTAAACTCTGGTTATATCAGTGCTGTTATGTCCTACTTTTGCAAGAATTTCTTTTAGTTTTATTTGTTTATATTTTTGTAAATTAAATGCTTAAGTATAATAATTAGTTCATTTGTAAAATAAATACTTTTTTTCAAACGAAAAAAGCCACAAGCCTAAAGCCACATTTTCATGAATGTGCTAATCTCATTTTCACTCAGCGAGCTGCTGGAAAACGGGCTTATCTTTCGGTGTTCACGGGCGGAGTTACTGAATTTTGTTTAGCCCATTAAATCATTACAGTCTGTTAAACTACTGAATTATTTGCCCTCTCACTGGTACAGTACCGCTGGTGCTTTATTGAGCGGAAAACGCAATAAGGCGCCTGTAATGAAGCCTGCAGTGCAGCGGATCAGCACAACAGCACAGCACTGCTCAGCACTGCAGACTCACTGCTCATCACTGCTCAACACTGCAGACTCACTGCTCAGCACTGCAGTCTCACTGCAGCACCGCCGTCCATTATTATCACCGGGACGAGGTCCTTGAACAGTACGGGATCAGTGGCATTACAAGGTAATAGGGCAGCGTCTTAAAGGGGAACTCCACCAGTTTTCAAAATTGTCAGTATAATTCGAACCTCAAAATGGTTCATTGTAGAGAACCGTCTTTACAGTTGTGGTGATGGGAACCGCATATATAGCCGTTTTCACTATCGAAATCCAACCAGTGAACCTACACGAGTTTTAGATGTAATGATACTGTTTAAACAGTGGAAAATCTGAAAATAAAAGTTTTCTGAAGTTTTCTTAAGTTTACCTTAAAATGTCTTGAATTGATCTTTTAAAATACGTTTTAGGCCAAAGCCTCACAAAACTATCGAAAACAGCGTCTCAGGCATCAGGCAGCGTATTTCGTGCAATAGCCTAACTTTTTGTGAGGTAACGTTTGTTTAAAAGCCAGACGTCTGGTTCCTATCACCACCACTCTGAACGATTCTGCGTTTCCCCAGAAAGGAGCATTTCACATCAAACCACTCTGAATGACTCTGTTTACGTCTAAATACAGACATTTTGAAATTCGGTGGAGTTCCCCTTTAATGTTTCAGACCAAAGTCGGCGACTGGGGGAACGAAGAAATCTCCCGGTGACCTGCCGGTTTGACCGCTGTTGTGGTGGTTTACCATAGTCTCACGTTATGGTGGTAATATACAGTCCTAGTTCAAAGGGGAAGTCCATTGATTTTTCAGAATTTTTGCGGTCGAGATGTAAACAGTCATTCAGAGTGGTTTGATGTGAAATCGTAGTAGAGAACCAGGCGTCACAATGTCACAACACAAGCACAGCCATTTTATTTACTGTTTAGAACCACCAGTGAACCTACACGTGTCTTCTGAGTTTTTATATGTATTCATTAGAGTGCAGTACGTGCTCTTTTCCGTTTGAAACAACGCCTGAAATCAACGTTAATTTAATTTTGCCTTCATGTATCATTGACTGAAATCGTCTAATGCCAAAACTTTATCACAAAACTAGCTATCGTAAAACAACGTCTCAGACATCAGGCAGTGCATTCATAATCATTTAATGTTAGAACTTTCTGTGAGGGAGCTTTTAGAGGGGGACGTCTGGTTCCCATCACCACCACTGTAAACGATTCTGATTATTAGGTTTTTCTAGAACGGGGCATTTCACACCAAAACACTAATTATGGCTTTGTCCACATCTTAATCAGTTCATTATTGCGAAATTCGCAAATAAAAATTTAAAAATCGATGGAGTTCCCCTGTCATCATTAGTCTGTCCAGCCTGTCTGACAGTCAGCAAAGAAAGTCACCGCTGTCTCCTCAGGTTAGCCCGGAGAGTGGCTTCGTTCATTTTCTGTGGTAAACATTGTGGAAACTGACAGTTACCAAAACAGACGCCATCTAAAAAGACCATAAATAAATAAATGAATAAATAAATGGAAAGAAAGACGAAAAGGAAATAAACTTTACTGAAATGTTCAAAAATAACCGTCGTTTGTCACCAAGAGACTCACAGGTAAACTTAGTTAAAATGGTTTGCTAGTCACGAATGCTACCATGGCTCTCTGCTCACTTTGCTGGCCCTTCGTATTAAATACATATTTCTTGCTATTAAGTAAGTAAAAGGGGGAAATTAATACCCTTTGTTGCTAACTAAATCAAAAAGAGAATTGAAAAGCCACCACACTGAAATAGAGTTCATATATGTTAATGCTGGAAAAATACAGCTGAAAAAGTGAAAAGACACTTTTAAATACTCAGAAAATGATTCAAACATTGTACAACTGTAGTCCATCGTTATTGCTCTAATGTCATCTATTGTAACCCTTTCTTGGTTTGGTTTGTGGTTTGCTGTGTACAACATAAAATCAATTCAAGTGTAGCTACAGGGCAGAGGTGTACATGAACAGAGGTTCTTTACGATTCCCGGCTTGTATATATCAGACCAAACACACCAAACCACAAGAAAAGGGTTAAACTGATAGCATGTAGGCCTTTCAGTCTCTTGCAAATGTTGTAGTACTGTAATATTCAGAATGACTTTTATCTGAGCTTTAAGTGAGTACAGTTAGAATTAAACATGGCTGTTCTAGTTTTTGTTTGGCTGCATTTGCTTCAGACTGTTTCCACGCTTTCATCAGAGCTTGAAACAGTTCTTCATACACACATTACTTCATTTCAGCCTTTGCAAACATCGGATACATGATCAGTAGTGCACTTCACCACTGTCCAGTTCAAACGTCTAACAGAACCAGGATCTTTGAAATGTATGCAAATTTTGAATGCATGTCTCAAAATATGTGGTTGGAAAATGCAAAATTACTTAGACATTATTTTAACAACAAACACAGTTTTCCTTTAATTGACTCATTTTTGGATAAGTACTTGTACTTTTATACAATAATATTCTGTCTAAAGTAACAGTACATAGCAGATGTACATAACAGTACATAACAGATGAATAGCCTTTGTTTCTTCTTTCCAATGCTAAGCTGAATTACTGTTATTCTGTTACTGTTCAAGGAGCATTACTGAGCTCCTTTACCCCCTTATGCAGAAAAAGGCAAATTCTGACATTGTACCTATTTGTTAATAAAAGGAAAATCTATCAAAACCTAAAATATGTAGTTTGCTGGGAAGCTTGGCAATATAGTTCACATTTCTATGACCTCATATTGTTACTCTTAACAAAGTTCAGCTGATTTTGAACATGTACAGTGCTGTAAGATCATATGTTGTTAAGTTTGGCTCTTAATGTATGCTCGTATGTACACTTGTTCTGAAACTGCATCAAACAATTACCATAAAGGTTCAGGCAGCACTGTGACAGTATTATCACTGCCTCATTTTCACACTTTTGATGCATTAGGCTACTGTAATAAACATAAGGCCTTTTGTCTCACAAGCACTAAAGTGTGTGGTTTAATAAGCTAAAAACTTTATGTTAAATGAATAGTTTAGCAAAAAATCATATTTACATAATTTTCCTCTTATCTCAAATGCAGTCAGTCAGCCAAGACATGTTTGGTGACCAAATTTTGCTTCCTTAGTTTAGAACTGGAGCTGCTAGGCTAATAGTGCTTATGAACACTGGAAGTTAATAGTCACCCAAACCCAAAAAAAAAAATTGTCGACAAGCTACATAAACTTGCTTAAAAAAGATTCAGTGAAACAGAATGGATAGACTCCATTTACACATTTAAGCAAAGTGTTAGCATAGTAATATTTAAGGCTCGCTTACTGTAAGAGAGCTAGAAGTTTCATATTGTGTAACAATAAGTTACAAAAAATAAGGAGCTGAGATGCTGTGTCTCAGTCGGATCACACGATACTTGCCACAGATAACCAGGTTCCACCTCACAGGTGGGGAGTTGCTGGGTCCAACATCCAACTGACACATTTCTTCATGTGTATATTTGGGTTCAAACATGTACAGTTGGGGCTCATTTGTGCAGGAAATTCATACACATATATTGTACTGATTTTCTGAGTACAGTTACTTAACGTCTGTATCTACGTTACTCTACGGTGTGTCTGTGTTGTGACTTCCCCCCATTTTTGATCATCTTGTGTGAGTTAATACCAAATTGTGCCCAGCAAAGAAGTGATTCTGGTTATCCTAAA